ACACTAAGGATTTCTGCTCCATTTTCTTTGTCCTCTGGCTCCCTGTAATGTTCAACCTTCAAGGTCTCCTTATCATAAAGAAACCAAAGCAATCGCCATTTTCCCATGAGAAGATATCTTCTCATTAATTCAAAACTATAATTCCAAATCCCTCTGGCCCCGTAATCCATTATTAACTTTCCAAAATCGATATACTAAGCACCCTTTTTTGCTGCATAGTCCAAAAAAAAAAAAATCACATTTCAAAATGTTTAAGATCAAATTTAACCCATCATCTTTTAAGGAGGCAGAAACCCACCCCATGAATACAGTAAAACCTTGCCAGTCTGAAGGGTCTTCATCTCTCCAATATCTAAAAAATAAATTAATCCAAAAAGGTGATTAAAATAGAAAGCTCGGTCAAGCTTAATATCCATAAAACTGTTTGATGTGGTAGTGTGAGCTTGATGTAGTCCTGACTCCCAGCCACTCTACTCATAAGCCGACTATAAATGACAGTTTCCACAGTCTACTCATGGGTAGCAGCTGTCCAGAGTCACGTGGATGATCTCAATGATCTCTCCCTTGTTCCGGAGAGATTATGCCGGCCCAGATCCAGTGTCCAGCTGTGATTTCCCTTGCAAATGCTGTCTTACTAGCCAGCAAGCCAGTAAGATGTCAGCTCGCCAGGAAGACCCCCCAAAGTCAGTGGAATGTCTTAGTGCTTTTTTATTAACTGCCTTCCTCCCCTCTCTTCTTCCTCCCCTCTCCCCAAGAAATGCAAGCCTAGAACTTTTTATATGCCTCTCCATTTTTTAGCTTGCTTGAATAAACAACCAAGTGTCTTTGTTCTCACTGGTTTTAATCTCTGGAATTTTCTGCCATGAAATTTGTATTCCAAGATGAAATAGCTGATAATTAATGATCAAGGAAAGGTTGTGGGCAAGGCCCTGGATACGGAGCACTTGGGTTCCCTGCAGAGGCTACTGAATTACTCGGAGCAACTGGAAAGCCCTTTCTTGCTATTCTCCAGGCTCCCTGCCCCACCTGATTTTGTCTCAAAATAATATTCTAGTTTAAAAAAAGTGTAACCAAGAAGCTGGCATGCGGCAGAACAAAGGGCTCTTCATTAGCTGAACATGCTAATTTTCCAGGGCGTTGCATGGGTGTGGGCCCATCTGCCCAGAAAAGAAGAGGAGGGTAATCTGAGGTGGCAGAGAGCGTTCCTGGAAATGTTGAGGGTGGCAGCAAGCCACTTCACAGTGTACTTTCTGGCAAATGCATATTTTGGGGCCAGTCATATCCACCATGGCACTGGCAACGATGTGGTGAATAGCCAAGCCCTGTGCCCACTGGGTGCGGGTTTCTGAGAGTGCCCAGGTCATTGAACAATCCCAAGTGTGTCCCCAGACAGGGCCTCTTCCTAAAATAGAGGCACAAGGTAAATAGCCACCACCATCCAACTGCAGGGAGGGGGTCAAAGAAGGCAAGATGGTGGTCATGGCAGTGTGCATGCATGCAATATTAACACACTGCAAAAGGAGTGGCCCTTCAGTTCCATTGCCATGGCCACCATTTTGCCTTTCTGACAACCCTTATCCCAGGGGATGCCAGCGAAAATGACTCCATTTGGTGTATTTACAAAGACCATTGTCAAAAGGGAAAATGGGTTCACCTGGTCTGGTCTCAGAGCAAAAAACAAACAAACATTGGATTTCAACTTGCATAATTTCCAGTCATGCAGACTGGAAATTATGGGAGTTATAATCTAATACTAATCTCCCTGAGCTTGCAGGTCTCAAATGAAAATCATCCAATTGAAAGTCACCATTTTCAGGCCAGGAGGACCACATAGTTGGGGGAGCCACTCTGTCCCTGGGACTCTGTGGTTCTCTGCCCCACTTTGAGGTGGCATTTGGTACAGTATATGGCTACAATGGTCAGTCCTTTCTATCACTGTTGCTAGCTCAAGCCAGTTTGGTGCCAGAGATAATACCAAGTTCAAATGGTATTCTGTACTACCATTTCTTGTATTTATTTTTACAGTTAATACATAACTGTAAAAATAAAAGACAGGATGCTTCAGTCTTACCCAAGGTAGACCTAAGTCTCTCATAATGCAACCCATAACAGAATGAGCCATTTTCTGTAAAGTAAGTTCCCAACTGAATACTCTTTTTCCTTTAGTTGGTCTGTGGGTAGCGATTTCCTATCAAAAGGAGAGTGTTGGAATATGGCTTTGATTTTGATTTGCAAAATCTCAGTCCAGGGTGGGATTCTTTGCAAAACTAGGGAGCTGAGTTTCTCAAAAAAGTGTACGTGAGCAAAAGAATACAGTCATTGACATTTCTCCTTGAACAGAAGGGCGCAAATTTCTGTGTTCCCTGAGTAGGACTGAGGCTGTTTGATTGATGTGGTTTTCTGAAAACCAGTGCATAAGTTGCTGGGAACAGGATTTTCTCTGGGGAGATTCTTGATTTTCGGGGGAGGGAAAAGGTTTTTCTTTGCTTTTTGTCCCCTAAACTGTAGGGTTTTAAAAACTCAAGGCTCATGTTTCTGACTTCGCAGTGGCAGGAAATGAGGAATCCTTGGAGTTCTCTGAGCTTGGTTGTTTTCTTGCAAACGTTTTGTTACCTGGCTAGGTAACATCTTCAGTGCTAGAATGAAGTGGGGTTTGCTCTCAGTTTATATACAGTGGCATGCCCTGCCAGCACCAGCACTGTATATAAACAGAGAGCAAACCCTATTCCATTCTAGCACTGATGATGTTACCTAGCTGGGTAACAAAACGTCTGCAAGAAAACAACCAAGTTCAGAGAACTCCAAGGACTCCACAGTTCAACCCTGAGCTATACATATTCTCTTCTATTGGCAGGAAATGATGCTACCACTTTTCGGCACCTGTGATCAAAAATGTGTTCAGAAGTTGCCTGCAGATCTGAAACTTCAAGTCGCCAATTTCTGATGTCCTGGAAGAAAAGATAGGGAGATCTCAAGATCCCAAATCAGCAATCCCACAGGCAGAGATTTAGGGCTTAGGAAAGGCTTAGGAACCATGTGATCCTCAATAAGTTCCAGGGGAGGCCCACTGTGTGTGAATTGGCTTACATGAGCGCCTAAATGAAAATTCTGAATATAGGCACTTTGGTAAAGCAGCTGAAAGAGCCCTTGTTCCGAACGTTTGAAAAAGAATCCCATCCAGAAGGATCCTCTGCAAATGGGGGTCAGCAAGATGTTAATGCCAACTTGTAAACCACCATATGATTTTAGCAGATGAGCCAACACATTTGATTTCCCAATATTTGATAAAGCTATCTCTAAACCCTGATTGGAGAGAATTTTCAATTTGTACTTTGAAAGCAATCCGTTTCAACATGTCTGCACTGGGGAGTGGGGGAGGCACGTGACTTGCTCTGTCCTTGAGGTACTTCTGTACTTGCACAGTGATTGTTCTGAGCCCAGTCTGTGCATTTTCAAGGTTCTTGGAAAATGTGAACAAGCCTGAAGTTTGTCCATGACAGCCCTCTCGGATTATTATTAATTGAGCACTATTGTGGCTATCTCCTTTAAGCATTTATTTATTTAAAGCGCGTATGTCCTGCACTTCAGCTAGATACATAAAGATAAATAAAGAGATACAGATCCTGCCATTAGACTAACTATTTCCAAAGACACTACATAAAAGGAAGAAAAGTGGGGGGGGGGATATTTGCTTTCACTGAGTTATTGCAAAGAGCCATTTTCTTCCTTTAAAGACTTGGAAAAGCCCAAAGATGGTGTGACCTTACAAATGCCCTCGGTTTGGGTCTTGGTAAATCAGATAGAGACTTCAGGGGGTGCCTTGGAGCTCTGAGATTGGCATCTTAGACTAAGATGAGCAGATCTGGACTCCAAGCATTTGCATGGCCTCTACAGAGCAGCAGCAAGATACAGAAACTAGATCTCTGCTCCCATCTATTGGTCATTGGATAGCTGTAGCCTGGATCTGGTAGCCCTGGGTCCTGGGGAGTTGGCCATAGAGTGGCGTGTCCCTGAGGCTCAAATCTTGTTTTTTGTGTTTCAGTCACTAGCCTCCAGTGTGGAATCAGACTTAGGGTCAGACTGTGACGGCAGGCACCAGAACACGCGGCCAAGGCAAAAACGCGAGCGGTGAGTCAGTGGAGCATTAATTGCTGGATTCCAAGCTGTAAATCACAAAACAGCCTTTTAAACCTTGCCTTCTTCCTGGGCATACAGGGTAACCCTTTTTTTTTTTTTTTTTTTTCTTCAAGTCAGTTTTTTCACTTCTGGTGACTTCCTGGGCAAGTCCCTGCAGTTTTCTTGGCAATATTTCAGAAGTGGTTTGCCCTTCCTTCTTCCTAGGGCTGAGAGAGAGGAACTGGCCCAAGGTCACCCAGCTGGCTTCGTGCCTAAGGCGGATCTCGTGGTCTCCTGGGTTCTAGCCTGGAGAATACCTGTAGATGACTACTACACCTGTTGTCTCTGAGCCTCCAAATCTGTAATTCAGAAATCATCCGTTCTGGCCAAGCTTTACCAGATTGTAAACCTGGGTGAAAAAAGCCTTCTCCAACCAGGTTGGAACTGCAACTGCCAGAAATGTCAGTCAATAAGATTGAAGGCAATTTCAGTTCAAACAACCTGGAATTCACCAGTTTAGGAAAGGCTGATCTAGATGAAGTATTGAATGTTCTGGGGAAAAAAAAGGCAATATAAATATATCTTATTTCTTACTGCTGTGAATGGCCTCAGTGCAGATTTTCCTTCAGCTTGATAAATGAGTGTTTATCCCTCAGCCTCTTAACAGCTCTGGAATATCTAATATTGATCCTCCTAGTATATGAGACAACTAAGATGATTGATTTCACCAGACAGTACTCCATTTGAGACTGCAGCAGAAGGGAGGTTCAATCCACCACAGGACCACCATCCCCCATTGCTGAGAAGAGCCTAATTCCTCCCATTCCGCTTTTAAAAAATAGAGAATTATACATGCATATAAATGTATATACCTGCAGACATGCGTCTACAGCTGTGTCTGTGTGTGAATATTTTTTTTCTCTTCATTTTCCACTGATGCCAATAGGTTAAAAAGAAATAGTCGCAATAATGTGGTGCTGTTGGGTGCGTGTTTGGACTTTCCCAATCCAACATATGATTCTGGAGATTGACGGTGTATCTAAGTTGCTCTAAGCAAACAAAACCAAAGCACTTTGAATATATAGAAGTTCTGTACCTGCCCTTGAGTGCTTTGGGAATAGATAGATGGTATATAAATCAGACACTCGACCAATAAATGTGAATTCCGGTTATCACCTTAATGGCTTCTAACAAAGAGGAAGTAGATAAATTATGAAGTCAATAACTGCTGGTGAAATAAAATCTTGCAGATGGGAAATGCCATCCCTTTTCATCTACTCTCCTGTCCAACCCTTGTCATATCTCACAGGCCTGTGAGGAACAACTATGCGTTGATACGCAAATGGGTAACTCTCTTTTAATGTGGCTTGGAGCTGGGAGTAGATTGGGAGCAGTGGCCTAATGCCAGCCTTGAAGGCCCTTTTTCAAAGCTTGTCGTGCCTTCATATCCATCTCCCTGGCTTCCCCCATCACTTCGCTTTTGTGCCTGAATTGGTGCACAGTTTGACTGCAGCCCTGACGTCCCATTATTTGATTTTTCTTTCTTAGAAGGAAGAATAAGAGAAACTTCCTAAGGTTATGGAGCTCAGGAAATCAGGACCTCCAATCACTAAGGTAACCTCGCTTTAAACCAGTTTTCCACAGTGGGACTGGGAACCAAGAGAGGGTGGTGGGGCTGCAGTGCACGTATCTCCATAAGGATAACCATGCAAGTACTCCCAGAATTGCTGGCTGGGGAATTCTGTGAGTTGAAGTCCACACATCTTAAAGTTGCCAAGGTTGAGAAACATTGCTTTAGACATTGTCCAGTGTAGGCTTTTATGAGCCCCTTCCACATCCCAGCTGTGCTTCCAGTGTTTTAATCTGCAGGGATGATGGTATGATTCCACTGGAGGCAAGAGTCTGCATTTGCTGACTCTTATCGGCTTAAACTCCTGTTTTCCAATGGCTCATCAGCCCCATTAATTCTCCTTGATGGCTTTTCATCAGCTGACTTGTGTTATTGAGGCCTTTCTATCTACTCCCTGTGGCCCCTAGGTTTAGAGACAGCTAAAGCTGAGATCTGTCCACAAGTCTTTGGCATCGCCCAGCAGGCAGATTTGGATTCTATAGTCGACTGTCACTGGTGGGTTCCAAATTGGAAACCTTTTATACTGCAAAATATGTATTCAGCTTTGCTCAGTATACTGTAGAATTGTCAGGCCTAGCCCAAGGAACTCCAAGAGACAATGCAAATTCAGTTCAGCTATGTTTGTTAGCTAAAACCTCTAGCAAGAATCTTCCCAGTCTGAAACCCCAGCTCCCAAGTCAGCCAGCCACAACAGTGTGAATTCCTCAGAGAGGTGCCAGTCTCATCCTCTTGTAGCTCCCACGCTCCTCTGGCGAGCTGAGAAAATGTTTATCTCCCTGAGCCTGGCCTTCATAATTCCATTCCATCACAAGAACCTCGTTTCAGTGCCTTATCCTCAGCAACACTAGATGGGAGATAGAGTAGGTCTCCATGCACTGAGAGATGCTGTCCCTGTGAGCAGAATGAAGAATAAGGTCCTGACGCATGTATTTTTTCACAGCTCTTTCAGTGAAGACATATCTTTACTGCCCTATAGCTCTACAGCACCTGTAGAGCTGCTATTGATAGAACTGGAGCAATCAGTAATTTCACATCAATTTCAATATCAACCGGAGCTGCCCAGAGTCATTGAGAGTCTGGTGGCATACAAATTTAATTTATTATTATGGTTGGTTGCACTGCCAGCCAGATGTTTATACTGGATTTGGCATTTTTATCCACCTATCAAGTCCTTCCCAAGGACCTGGGATGATGATGATGATGATGATGATGATGATGATGATGATGA